GTAAAAAGATCAGTGATTGTCAGGGTTTAGTGGGGAGGGAAGGATGAATAGGTGGAGCACAGAGGGTTTTTAGGGCAGTGAAAAATACTGTATGATACCATATTGGAAGATGTACGATACTCTCCATTTGTCCAAACTCACTGAGTGTACAACACCGACAGTGAACCCTAATGTAAACCATGGACTTTGGGTGATAATGACAGGTCAGTGTGGGTTCATTTATTGGAGCAAGTGTCCCACTCTGATAGGGGATATTGATAGTGGGGAAGGCCGGGGAGAGGGAGTCTGGGAATATACAGGAACTTAGTACTTACTGATCAATTTTGTTGTGAATCTAAAACTGCTCTAAAAAACAAAGACTACTTTTTAAAAATATTCTCTTTAGAAGCAAAATAAATAGGATCTAAAATAAAAATTTATTATTAGAGAAAATGCACATGAAGAGACTTCCTCTAGGGACTTAACTATAACGAAAGATTATGCTCAAGTGCCCATATTGTCAATAGTCTTACCACCTCTTTTTTGGATGTGTGTGTGTGTGTGTGTGTGTGTGTGTGCATGCATGCACACACACATGTACGATTCCCTCCCGTGGTCCTCAGAAGCAATGCAATTAACTGGTGGGAATTGGCTGAAGCTTTGGGGCTTTGTCACCTCCAGACTCCTCTAGCCCAGATTTCCTCTCTGGGTCCTCCTCACCAGCTTTGTAAGGAAATCTTACTTCATTCTTGAGTTTGCCAACCACGTGATCTAACAGGCACAGGCGCCAAGTCTTCATTCTACCAGGCGGGCCTCACAAGGCCCTGATTGTCTCCTGGTAGCATCCTCAGGCCCGCAGGAGAGCCTGCTGCAGTGAACAAATCACCATTCTGTGCTTTTCTATTGCTGTGACACTTCTGCGGAACCAAAGTGTTCAAACTCTAACCCTGACATTTCCATTTCAAGGTGGATATTCCTGAATCTTTCTTCTGTGGGTGCCCATCATTGAGTCTCTGATGACTGGGCTCTGAGGCCTCTTCTTCATCTTTATACTGACCTCACTTTCCCTTCTGTCTTGGTTGCTACAGTTTTCTTCCTTAGCACGATGTGATTCTACATAATGCCGCATGGAACTGTGTTTTCTTTTTCTTTTTAATTGTAGAGTGAAATCTGCTACTCAGAGATAAGAATCCATAAAGGGGCTTCTGGCCACCCATTTAAAAAAGAAAGAACGCCTTCTATCATATGATTATTCAGAAAAACTGTGATGATGTCGTCTGGCATAGAACCCTGTCCTTGTTGCCTACCCTAAAGTTTCTGTTTAATTTACCGACTATCCATACCTAACGTGGGCCCCAAGCCTTGAGCTGGTGCTATTATTACTGTAATAGCCCACACATTCTTGCCTGTATGTAGCAGCACATATGGACACCTATAGTGTACATATTTTGAGAAGTTAATTGGATAAATGTTTTAAATTAGGGTAGGCCCCGGATTCAACTTCTGTGATGGAAAAGAACATCCAATTAGATTGCAAAAACTGAATTGTTTCTCTGATCTTCAAAGATTGACATAATTGCAATTTAAAAATTTGATACCCCTCCCCATAAATTTTGATTCTTTGAAAATTATCTGAGGTTCCTGGATACACCATTGCAGCATTCCATGAATAAAGCCATGTTCTTTTAAAGAACTACCTACGTGAGACTTGAGAATTTCCCCCAAATTGGCAATGTAGTTTTGAGATGGTTCTTTTACTCCATGCTGCCCGTGTTGAATAATGTGTAGATTGTGATCTAGTTTGACTTGGTATCTAGTTGATGGAAAATCCTAGTACCAATGTCAGGATGGAATCAGCCCATCCTGATTCCTTCCTTTGAACACACATGGCATTTTGTCTTCTGCCATTAGCCCTAATTGGGCTCTTGGGTTTTTTGGGTTTTTTTTTAATTTTTATTTTTGAGAGAGAGAGACAGAGTGTAAGCAGGGAAGGGGCAGAGGGCGGGAGATACAGAATCTGAAGGAGGCTTCAGGCTCTGAGCTGTCAGCACACAGCCCCAACTTAGGGCTCGAACTCAATGACTGCAAGGTCATGACCTAAGCCTAAATCAGACGCTTAAGGGACTGAGCACCCAGGCACCCCTGGCCTCATCTTTATCCTTGCCTCTACCCTGTAAATACTTCTTGTACAGAAGCTGCTGTAAAGTTTCCCTTGATCCCTCATAGGCCAAGTCCAGGGTGATTCATGCAAGCTGTCAACAAATGCCAATAAAAGGAACTGAACTGTCAAATGCATGGAATGAACTGTAGGTAAACTTTCCTCTTTGATTCTCTACATTTTGGGGGAAGGGCAGATTCTTCTGAGGACACTGTGCTCTAGTACTGACTGGGTTCTGTGCTGCAGACTCCACTTTCCTTTATGGTCAGACAGATGTCCTACCCAGTCGGATTAACACCAGGAGATGAGATGGAGTCTGGAATGTGTGCAACAACTATATACACATTATCTCCACGATTAAAAGGCAGAAACTACACATTTGGTGGGATATTCTACTGGGCAACAGGTAAAAAACAGACCATAGCAAAAGCATTTGTTGTACCGCAGAATTATAGTAATTTGTTTCCTAAAAGATCATTTAAGGATTGTTCAACTAGTTCCCAAAAGGGAGGAGGAGGGAGTTGGAATCTCTTTCAAAGCAAGAAGGGAAGGGAGGTGGCTTTAAAGTCTGCATTGAATCAGCTTAAGAGCACATAACTTTATCCTTTAGTAGATATTAGTCAGGCCCATGCTTTAAAGGCAGGGCAAAACCTACTTGCCTGAAGAAAAACAAAGCAAATAAATAAATGAATGAATGACAAAATTGTTTTCTTTCTGGAAAGGGAGGGACTTCAAAACCATAATGTGCCAAATACCTCCTCCTCCTTCTTGAAAAGCCCTCCAAGTTAGAAGCAAGATTAAGGAAAACGCTTTTCTCAGGATGCTCAAAGTTCCTTGCAGCTGATTGTTTTTCAGGAGGAGAATTAGACAAAAATAATACAAGTGGGAAATAAAGAGAGTGACCTACTTTAAGGGGAGGAGGGAGGGCGTTTTGATCAAATTGACGATGTGGGGTTGCATGCCCAAATAAGGCGCTGTTGGTCGAGTCTGCGCGGGAGAGGGCCTCTCTCGAACTCGAGCCTCGGAGAAGATAAAATAAGGGCCCTGGAACTGGGTGGGCAGGGAACCCCAGTACACTGGGCCGACTGGTGTTCAGAGGACGTACCCTAGGAGATTCCTTCTGGCCAAACAACCCAGTATGATAGAAAAGGACCGGTAGGGGCGCCTTTCTTTCCAAGGGCTACTTGCTGGAAGTGTGAGGGACCGAGGGACATCTGATAAAGGCTGCTGGGTGCACAGCACTGTGCCAGGCGCTGTACTTAGGTGCTGTTAAGGAAGAGGTGACTTCCCGGGGCTAGTGGACCTCTCCTCTCTTTTGGTTTCTCCCCCAGGCGTCTCTGCGCCACGCGGTGGAGGGAGGTCTGCGAGCCCAGGGGAACCTGGTCACTGTTCCGAGCCTCATCGGAGCACAGGATCTCCCCTTTTCAACGCTGTCTCGGAGCCCCGCAGAGCATCAAACCACAGCCCCTGGCTCCCAGAGACTATTTATGTGCAGCTGTCTCTCTGGGCGTTTGCTGCGGGAGCCTGGGTGAAAGCCTCCCTGTTTTCTCGCGCGCGCACCGCTCCAGCTTCTCCTTTTCTTGGATTCTCGCCTGTCTCCTCCCACAGAGGGAAAAAAAAAAAAAAAGGTCACGTATGTTTGGAAAAATATGTAGGTCAGTGGAACATTTCCTGCACTGGTGCAAAAGGAGAGGAGGGCAGCGGGGGAGGGGAGGGAGAGGCAGAGCCGAGCTCGGAGGGCGCGCTCCTGGCCACAGACCCCTACCGCACGTGCTTCTGCCTGGCGGGGGCGGGGGGGGGGTGCAATTAGCCGTTCCTTTTCATCCTTGACCCATTTTCCAGACCGGCTATGTTCGCCTTGGAAGCGACACCGACTATTTCTCCCCAGCAGGCGCTGCGGTCCTCCCCGGAACGGCGCTCTCCGGCTTCTCCCCCAACCCCAGTGTCCCAACTGCCCCCTCCCTCCCCGCCCCGCCGCCAACACTCATTGAGAAATCGCAGTGGTCCGCGCGCAGAGACGCGCCCTGTGTCCGGGCTCTGGCTCCGCGCACAAACCTGTCTGTCCCGCAAGAAAGGCGTGGAGGGGACGACAGTCGTGTGCTAGTCCCCCTCTCCCCCCAACGCACGGGACAGCGGGGTGGCAGCAGGCATGGAAAGGGTCTACACTAGGAAGGAGGGAAAGCTTGCTTGCCACCCCCAGCGACAACTTTAACGGGACTTCAGCTGGCGGCCCCGCGTCCGCCTACCTCCCCTCTCGACCGGTTCACCTCTAAGCGCGCGCGCGCGCGCGCACACACACACACACACACACACACACACACACCCCACCCCGCGCTCAGTTGCGCCCCAGCGCCCCAGGCCCGACTTCGCCGCGCGTCCCTGGCAGCCCAGAAGAGGCGGGGGCAGCCTCGGGCGCGCGGGTGTCTGGGCGGCCCAGAGAAGCTGGGGGTCCGAGGGGTCGCATGATGCGTACCCCAGGCTGGGTCGGGGCCAAGGCCCGGCGTGCGGCCAGAAGAGACCCGGCAGCAGGAGCGGAGGGAAGGAGGAGGAGGCGAGGGAGGAGGAGGAGGAGAGAGGAGGCGGGAGGAGGGAGGAGGGAGGGGGAGGAGGAAGAGGCGACGGCGGCTCTCCCCACCGGCTCTGCGTGCGGAAGAGTTTGCCGCGAGAGCAGCCGGCCTCCCGCAGAAGCTGAGAGACCCGCGCGACGGCGGCCGGGAAACAGCGGCCGCGTAGCTCGGAGACCCGCAGCCGCGGTGGCGGCGGCGGCGGCGGCGGCGGCAGCGAGAGCAGCGCCTCCCGCCGCCGCCCGGGAGGAGCTCGCCGCGCCCGCTCGCCGCCTCTGCTCCCAGCGGCGGCGGCGGCGGCGGCGGCGGGAGGCGCGTCTCCCCGGCCCATTCCGCGCCCGGCCCCGCGGGGTCGCCCCGGCCAGCTCCGAGGTAAGGGGTCGCGCCTGGGGACGCGGGGAACCCGGGGTGGGAGTCCGTGCGCGCGGAGTCGCGGGGCTCGGTCACCTGCTAGCCGGCGCGGTGAACGCGCGGGGCCGGGGGCGCTCCGGCACGGGGCTGCGCGGCGCAGGGGTCAGGGGCGCAGGATGGTGGGGCCCCACCCCCATCCCCGGTCCTGCGGCCCGGGACACGGCGCCTTGCCGGGCTGCAGCGGCGGCCGGGCTGGTGTGCTCCGTGTACCTCTCGCCGTAGGAAGCGGAGGACGAGACACCTCGAACCTCAGGATTTGGGGGAGCTCAGAGGGTACTGTCGGGGTGGATAGAGGCCGCGCCCAGGTAGCAGCCTGGAGGGTTGCCCAGTGGCGTCTCAGAGCCCCACCGCGCGCCTTCGCAAAGAGTGGGGAGTGGGGGAGCCCGGGCTCGCGATCTCTCCGGGTCCCTAGGTCGGAATTGTTTCTGGGCCCGATTGGGTGCCTGGTCCCTAGCACGTTTAGAGAGCGTCCCCTGCCACTGCTCCCCAGGTTAGATGTCATCGAGTTGATTTGATAGGAGGTGTGCCCCCTCCCCGGGCAGAGGAGGAAGGCACACCTTTGACCTTTCTATATGGCTGCGCAGGGTCGTTAACCAGAGGGTAGGGACAGGTGCCAGTGGGGCTAAATTAAAAACTAACCCGCTCCTCTGCCTGCCACTCCTTAACTGCTCAAGGTAAGAAAGTTTGTTTTCAGCCCTGTGATTCATAAATAATTAGTAACCAGTTTTGTAGATTAAGCAAGATGGAAACCTTAAAAATACACACGCACTTCCAGAAAGTCTAAAAACTCCCAAGGTTGTATTCGGGAGGCTTTAGCTCAGGAAGTTAAAAGCCCCGGGATTCAACAGGTGTTCACAAAGGGTCCGAGAGGGGAGAGCTTTGCGTGTTTGTCTTTAGTACCTGCTGCTTTGGTATCGTGCCCCAAATTCGTTAAATTGGTTGGCCTGTTTCTTTACAGGTATTGAGTAGCTATTAACTTAAATAGCAAAGGTGAACTCCTCGTTTAGGATCATCCAGAACCCAAACCTTCTTTTCCTTAATAGGAGGGTTCTCCCCATTTCGACATGTCAGATAATTAGCTCTAAAGCAGTTCCTGGCAAGGTGCAGCTCTGTCCACACCTCTAACACTAACCTCTGTCTAACACCTGACCAGTGAATTAACCAACTAATGATGGCTTGCATTAAAGCAGAGCTGCGCTTCTTGGGTGGGAGGTGCCAGTTCAAAATTCAAGGGCAAGTTCTAGCTCTTTCTATAACAAAGATTTTTGTAAAGGGAAAGTTTGGCAGAAATAATCCCAAAATGTATTTTGAAATAACCATTGAATATATGTAATGTTTAAAAGTGTTACTCTGACCAGAGCCACTATTTTGCAAAAGAAAAAAAAAAATCTCCGTTTCATTACACAGTGAACCCAGGACCCATAGAAGTATTGGCATTTCTCAGCAGTCTACTTAAAGATTTAGTTAAAAATAAAGTGGGCAACATAAAGACATTCAATAATTGTCTTCCATCTCCCAGAGAGATGTGGCGTGTGGCTTAAAAGAATTGTAAATGTGCTGCTTCTAGTCATTTTCTTCTTGGAAATCGATGCCTCTATTTATTTGCTGATCTGTCCCACTGTGCACGATCATAGAATTGGTTTTATTCTTACTATTCCCCAGAGTGAATCCTGTGGAGGTGAGAGAAGGAACTACATTCTAGAGGAAATATGTTATTAATAAAACGTTACCCCCCAAAGAGTTAAACGTGCCAAGAAAAAAACCAAGTGAGGCTTTACTAATTAGTGTGATGAAAAAAATTCCCTAATATGATGACAGGGTTCAGATGGTGCCTAAAAAAATTCATCTTTATGAAAATAACAATTGTTTTTAAGCTTCTTTGGTCCTTTTAAGAGTTTGGGTCCTTTTTACTGTTTCTGGTTGTTCACTGATGAAAAGCATAAAAATCACAGAAATGGTAAAAAAAAAATTACATCATCTGATGTATATAATTATTAAGTTGAATTTATCTTAGTTTTTAAATAATCTTTCTTAACTCTTGGTGATCTTTATAGGTGGCTCTTAACCCTGTCACTCGTTTTCAGGTTACATATTCACAACCAATGATTTGTTCAGATGAAAATAATAATGCATGCATATGCATATGCATTTTATATCGTCATCTGTATATGTTAATTTTTTCAAAGTCTTGCTCTTAAGCCTGAAGAGCCCAAAGGGCTAAGTCCTTTTTCTTAATTTTTAAAACAAGTAGATATTGTGTTCTTCACATGAAAAGTCAGTTTTTCCACTGTGATCAGGACACTGATTGTCCCATGCTGATCCCATGTAAGTGGTGACATCTCTTTCCCAAGAGAGGTCAAATTACAAGGTGTTGAAAATAGCCCGGTGACTCAGTATACTTGGCTGCTGTACGCCAAGGGTTTAATTGGCCGCATCATAGAAGCATCTAATTGAGTTTCACATTTAAATAGTGGAAATGATACTTGATGCATTATTTGCTTACACAAATGTTTCATTAGCATGTTCCTGATCTTCAGTCTATTTGTAGCAAGGATGGGAGGTCAGGGACTGCTCATTCATATTCCCCACGGCATCTCATCCCTATGAGGCCTTGTTCATAATAGATGCTCAATAAATAGGTGTAGGAAATGAGCTGAATCATTGATGAGAGTTATCCAACGGTTAGAAATTTGTGAGTGCTAATAGGGTGCTTGACTATGACTAACTCAAGTTTAAATCTGATGATGATCAATAGTACCTGAGAGCACTAAATAAACACTTACTAAATGTGAACATTTGTTTTAAAAGGGGAATTTTTTTGAATTCTTTGACAGTGGGGACCACTTGGCCTTGGAAACAAAGTAATCTCTTAGGTAAAGTTCCCCCAAAGATCACTTGAACTTCTGTGGGTCATAAAACAATGTGTGGTTTCCATTTGATGATTCAGAATAGAAAGGAGAGAGGTTGACTTCTACACTGGTGTGAGAAAAATAGTGTATTAAGGAGGGTGGAAGGTGCCAAAGATCGTGTCTCAAACTTTATAGTGTGTGCAGTTTCCTGGGGACCTTGTTAAACGTACATGCTAACTTAGCACATCTGGGTTGGGACCCAAGCTGAATTTCTCACAAGCCACTCTGTGCTCCTGATGCTGTTGAAACACCCACAAAGTTCTGGAATATACTTAATTCAATTCAGCATATGTTTACTGAGCATCTCCTACATGATAGGCCCAGGTTATGGGAAAATAACAAACGTGGGTCCTCTCTGCCCTCTAGTCAAGGAGCTGATGAGATGAGGAAGAGAAAGATTCTTTCTAGACTGAAAATGAGGTCCTGGACCCGAGAAGGGCCCAGGAAAGGGGATTTTCTGGTAAGGCTCCCACATTGCTGACCTTGACCTCTATCTAGTCTTCTTTGAATGGAAACCTTTGTGATCTGGCAGAAAATAAACAGCAAATGTTGAAATCAGACAGACCTCGGTGCACCTGGGTGGCTCAGTCGGTTAAGCCTCCGACTTCGGCTCAGGTCATGATCTCGTGGTCTGTGCGTTCGAGCCCTGCATCAGGCTCTGTGCTGCTTCAGATTCTATGTCTCTCTCTCTCGGCCCCTCCCCTGCTTATGCTATGTCTCTCTCTGTCTCTCAAAAATAAATAAACATTAAAAAAAGAAAGTAATCAGACAGACCTGGGATAGCCTAGGGAGGCTCAGCTACCGTATGACTTGGAGCAACTTTTTTTTAACCTCTTTGAGCCTCAGTGTCTTGGTCAGAAAAAGGGTGGGAATAATGCTTAACTCATCAAGTTGGTAGGATTACCAGAATAATTGCTTTTATTTACTCTCAATGGGAAAGAGGGGGCTGGCAGGCAAGAGAAAGAAGAGGTTCCTAAAATATTTTTCCATGTAGTTCACCAATTAGCGATTTGATTTGGTTAACCAACAAACCCAAGGCAAGCCGTAGAGAACCAGGCTAGGGCTGGAGGGTGGGCAGCTGTGGAAGTTAATCAGATGCAAAACAGAATTATTAGGAGCATGCACATCTCCACTCTTCTCCTGCAGTGCCCTGGCTTCTGGTTAGCCTTGCTGATACCCTGCTAGCAATATATTTACCTGAGGCTGTTCCTGGTGCTTAGCCTGTAGGTTCCAGTGATCAAGATCGACTGGTGTTTGTACAGTCAGGCACTCCTTTAAAAATATGGTTCAGAGGGAAGGGCAAGTGCCTCCTCTCTTTGAGGGGCACTGGTGCATTCCCTGGCAAGGCACTTTTAAGGAAGGATTAAGGCATCAGTGAGTCCTTTCCTGCTTAGAGGAGTTAGCTGAAATTAGTGCAGGGTGTGTCCGGATTCATCAGGCAGATGTTTTGTACTTTATGCTATGGGATGATTGTTTCCTCTTGACATCCGGGGAAGATGGATATTCTAAGGCAGTAGTCTCTATCACCCTGGTCTTAGGAGGGATAATCTGGATGGCCCTCAGAATACTTCAACATTGCTCTACTTTCTTATATATATGATTATATATATAAGATATATATATATAATATAAGATATATATATGCCATATATATATATATATTATCTATATATAAGATATATATGGCATATATATTAGAGTTCCATTTACTATTTGCAGAGGGGATTTTACTGCTATCATTCCAGCTCCATGCCTCCCCAACTAAAATAAACCTTGAAAACCAAGTTGTAAGAGAATGCCAGTGGCCTTCTGATGTGCGGAGGGAGGAAAACCAGAGGAATGTCTGGAGCCAAGGCAGTCCTGGGGGTGTGGTAGAGGGGTAACAAGGAGGGCAGCAAGCATCTGAGCACCCAGAATGGAAGTCAGAGCAGTGGCAGGAGCAGAGGTGGGTGGTAGGAGCCAGGGACCCAACTTTGTGGACTCTACTGCTGTGGAGAAGGCTGTGGAGGATTATGCTCCTGGGTCTTTGAAAATCATCCAGGCTTCCAGACA